TGTGATTGTGTCGTAGGCTGGCGGTCGGGGCCCCGTCCCGCACCCACACCCCCCCACCCCCCCTCCCTCTAACAGTGCTGCCTCTCAGCTGTCTGGCATGTTGTCGGCCCCCCCTGCTACGACTTTGCCCGTCTTCCTCATGCATCATCCCCTTAGACGGCTCCTTAACCCAGTCCAGCCTCAGACGGTCTCGGATTACCCTGGCACCCTCAGATCACCCACTTCCCCCTGTGGCCTGTTTAGGCTTAGTCATATTAACACTTCCACAGAGAGCTGAAGGGCAACTACAACAGACTATGAGTGGATGAAAGATGCATGTAAACAAATGAATATTCAACAAACAGACTTTAAACCATTTAATATCCACCCATAAATTCTACCAAACATTAGCATCAGTTCACTAACTGTTGGAAAATTAGCGGATAAAGTTTTTAATATTCTTTGATTCAATAGTCAGACCCCATGTATTTGTTTGATTTACTTTGAATTATTTTTACACTTACATTGTTTTAATTCAGTTTTGGGATTTCTTTAACAAATTGTTTTTTTATGTATTGGTTTTGCTAATTTTATGCTATGTCTGTGATGCTCTTAGCTTTCTATGGGTCTTTTTGGATTATGTTTTACTCAAATATTCAAGACTGACCACACAAATATAATTAATCAGTAGGAAAGCAGCATATACATATATATATAATTATATATTATTATTACCTTATTATCACTGCATCCACCCAAACCACATTCTAAAAAGTGAGTCTAATGGCTAATAATTTAAGTTAAGTTAATTTAAGTTTAATAAAAGTTCCATTTAAAGTAGTATTATGAAGGTGATGGTGAGTAGTATTTCTAAATCACTGCATCACCACTGAAGGCAGAAACTTCACACTTGTGTCCGTTATCTTTCATGTCCCTGACATTTTTCTTCCTCTTAAGTCGCGGCCCCCCAACACAGACCCCAACCACAGAACCTTTTTGCTGAGCAGCACTTAATTTGGCCTTGTGTGTACTCCTGAGCCCGCCCACTGCATTACCCCCTGCCCCCAGCCCCTGTGCCCACCCCCTCCACCCGAGGACGCCCCAGGAAGTATTTAAGGAAGCTCTCACACCCTGGCTCCTCATCCCAGTCAAGAATCCAGCCTCGCAGTTACAACTTGGTGAGTCCTCTCTGCTGTGCTGACCATGATGATGATGATGATGATGGTGATGGTGATGGTGAAGATGTGTTGGTGTGAATGGTGGTGTGAATGATGTGTTATACAATGGAGTGGTCGATGTTTCCTCTGTTAGATTATTTAATGTCTGCTAAGGATAACTGTGACTACGGATGGTGGATTCAATATCAGGTACAGGACCATGTGTCTGGGCGTAGCAGCAGATTATTTAGACCTGCAGGAGACCGGTTTTAGGAGTTCAGTGTGATCTAGGTCAAGGATGCTTAAGGTCCATCGCTGTTTACTGACCACTTTGGGCCAAAAAGATCATTTAAGGTCAGTGAAGGGAACGGATGCAAACCAGCAGTATTTTAGGCTCTTTTAGATTAAACAATGAAATTAAAAAATAATGTGTTTGTAAAGACATGCTTTGGCAAACAGTATGCACTATGTGGGCCACATAAGGCTTGCATCCATTTTTTTGGAGCAGGTGGTTTTGTTTTGGAATCAGAAGTGGCCCATATTACCACACGACTGCGGAGTAAGGAATTGTGGGAAAATTGATTTGAACTTTGAACTTTCTTCCAACAAACACATCTGTGATCATTAAATTTGATCTTGTTGGGAAAACAGTTCTTTTTTTTAGTGTTTCAAACATTTAAGATTAAAATCAGACGGACTATTAGTCTCCGAGGCGTCTTGGCCCACTCCTGCCACCTGATCAGCTTTTATCTGGCCTAAAGAAAGCAGGATCGGAAAGTGAAGATAAGAAACCAAAGTGGTCCAGAAGTCAAATGTTAGCATTTTAAAACTTTGGGACTGGATCTTTTCTAACTATGTTGATCTAAAGAAATATATCTGTGGTACAGGTTGAACGGTCTTGTATTTCTGGGTCACTGCTGCTACTATGGGATGCAGACCACGACCGGGACACATGTCATCTTCAAACAGAGGAGTCCTCTGTATCTGTGTAGACAGCTGAGGACAGACCACAGACCACTTGTCAAAGGAACTCAGCTGTTAAGTGCTCCTACCTAATGATGGGAGACAGAGGACGAGGGGGGGCAGGGGTAGAGGAGAAAGGGGACAGAGGAGGTTGTCAAGAGCCTAAAATAGATGTGTGTGTGGAGGGGGGGGGTCTGGTCTTGTCCCATTTTGGCATGGTGGACAGCTGTGGCACTCAGAGGAGATTAGGCCACTCACAGGTGTCTACATGGTCCACATAGTCTCTAGAATTGGTCTGTCTGTTTTGCCCGACCTGTGGTGGATTTATGTATCACTTGTTCATTAACCAAAGGTTTGTCTGACTCATCTTCTGTCTGACTCCTGTCTCCTACAGAAGGCCAGCCTTTTAAACACCAAACATGTGTGACGACGAAGAGACCACCGCCCTTGTGTGCGACAACGGCTCCGGCCTGGTCAAGGCTGGGTTTGCCGGTGATGACGCCCCCCGTGCTGTGTTCCCCTCCATTGTTGGACGCCCACGTCACCAGGTAAGAAGCTGTTGCAGAAGATTCTGAACGATTAGAAAATAAAAAGATTCTTCACAGATTTACTGTCTTCTCTTTGAGATTCTGAGTTGGTTCTGTTCTGTTCTGCTCTCAGGGCGTCATGGTGGGTATGGGTCAGAAGGACAGCTACGTGGGAGACGAGGCCCAGAGCAAGAGAGGTATCCTGACTCTGAAGTACCCCATCGAGCACGGCATCATCACCAACTGGGATGACATGGAGAAGGTGAGAAGAGTTAGACTGTACATTAGGACATCTACTTCTCCTGGTGCTGTACACTCCAGGTGTCTTAGACTTGATTTCAATACGATGTACGATGTTACTGTATGACCTCCAGTCCCTCATCTCTGTGGTTGACTTTCTCAGATCTGGCACCACACCTTCTACAACGAGCTCCGTGTGGCCCCTGAGGAGCACCCCACCCTGCTGACTGAGGCTCCCCTGAACCCCAAGGCCAACAGGGAGAAGATGACCCAGATCATGTTTGAGACCTTCAACGTCCCTGCCATGTATGTGGCCATTCAGGCTGTGCTGTCCCTGTACGCCTCTGGCCGTACCACCGGTGAGACTCCAACCAAGACTTGGACTCCTTCACTACCCCACATGTGAAAACATGTGTCAGTCCATTGTTGTCTAATGTCAGTCTACTGTTCTTCACCTGGACAGGTATCGTTCTGGACTCCGGTGACGGTGTGACCCACAACGTGCCCATCTATGAGGGTTACGCCCTGCCCCACGCCATCATGCGTCTGGACCTGGCTGGTCGTGACCTGACAGACTACCTGATGAAGATCCTGACTGAGCGTGGCTACTCTTTCGTCACAACTGGTAAGACAACCAGATAAACCAGTTAAATATATGTGGCCCACGTCCTCTACATGTCTAGAACATTTGACTCTTTAATTTGGCCCACGTGTGACACAGATGTTGACTTTGGGCTGTAGCATCTCTCAGTAGTAGTAAAGACAACAGTAGCTTAGCTTTTGACCTACATTTACCACAGGAGGAGGATGAGAGTTTTAAGCACTAACATGACACCTCCATCTCTTCCCTCCAGCTGAGCGTGAGATCGTGCGTGACATCAAGGAGAAGCTGTGCTATGTCGCTCTGGACTTTGAGAATGAGATGGCCACTGCTGCCTCCTCCTCCTCCCTGGAGAAGAGCTACGAGCTGCCCGACGGTCAGGTCATCACCATCGGCAATGAGCGTTTCCGCTGCCCCGAGACCCTGTTCCAGCCCTCCTTCATTGGTGAGACCTAGACCTAGAAGAATTATATAACAACTACTTCTTATTTCCATATTAGCGTGGTTAACGTGGTTAGCATGGAAAATACTCGAAAACCAACTTCTTCTTATGTGGCCTGTGTAGGTATGGAGTCTGCTGGTATCCATGAGACCGCCTACAACAGCATCATGAAGTGTGACATTGATATCCGTAAGGACCTGTACGCCAACAACGTGCTGTCTGGTGGTACCACCATGTACCCTGGTATTGCTGACCGTATGCAGAAGGAGATCACAGCTCTGGCCCCCAGCACCATGAAGATCAAGGTGAGTTCAGATGCAGCGCTGACCTGCTGATACACTTCAACTAAGTCATAATAATAAACACATGCTGACCCACGCCTCTGCTCCTCCCTCTCTGTCCAGATCATTGCTCCCCCTGAGAGGAAATACTCCGTCTGGATCGGTGGCTCCATCCTGGCCTCCCTGTCCACCTTCCAGCAGATGTGGATCAGCAAACAGGAGTACGATGAGGCGGGTCCCTCAATCGTTCACAGGAAGTGCTTCTAAATCTTGTTGGATTACCAAACGAAGACCACACCTAACACTAGACTTCTTAATCAATCATATGAAACTAGTATTTGCAAAATACTTGGAGTCAGGAAAAAAACTGTGTAAACACTGGACATGTGCTGCGACTCATCTCCGCCCAGAACCAAAGACCACCACACCAACCCCTCCAGCCTCTGTATTTCTACTGTGCCTTTTGCTGTATATACCTGTGCTGTTGTAATAATAAATGGTTGCTTTTCACAATAATCTGCTCTGTGGTGTAATCTGTAATCTCTAATTTGAACAGTCAACTACACAGAAACGACAAACTAAACTACACCCTATAACACTGTGGCCTACAGTATCACAGAGTACAGTGGATTCAACATACTGTAATACTATGTAATTTTGTACTACATTAGGCAAACTACACAACAATGTGTTACTTCATCAAATACTACACCCTTTTAATTCTCACATATTGTGTTACTAAAAAAAACTACACTTGTACTCTACACTATATTACGTTTTACTATACTATACAGTTTACTGAGCAATACTGAACTATAATTATTACTGTTGATCACCTGTCAGCTAATTTCAGTATTTTTTTATTATTTTTATTATTTATTTTTATGTTTTTTTTCAGTGCCTTCTCAAACTTCATACATTTTGGGTAAAAGGAGAGGGTAACTGCCCCTCCTCCTGTTAACCTGTGAGGGTAAACACCTGTTAAATGTATTAAAAGCAGAAGGTAGTGGAGCTGGATGTTGACATCTGACATCTCCAGTTTTTACATGCCCCCTGAACGCATCACGCTTCTCCTCACGTGTCACTTCCTGTGCCACAGGTGACATTAATAAACCATAATAAATCACACGCTCCGTTCCTCGGTTATACTCACAGACATTTTTGAAGTTCCAGTTGTCAATCACAGTACAGTGTGAGTTTTGTTGTGTTTTTTTAATCATGAACCTCGCTGACAGCAATATGATTCGTTTTCACCTTCATATACTTCATGGTGTAACTGTGAAGAAGTTGGAGAAGAAGAAGAAGAAAGAGAGACTGTTCATTGGTGGAACTAAAACCTTTGGTGTTCCTCTGGAAAATGTACCCAGAAAATACATCCCAGAGTTCGGACTGGTGCCCTGGTGAGCTTAACAAATACGTTTGTTGTATTTAAATACA